TTAGTATTATCATGCATTTTTTAAACATAAATTAATAATCACATAAAAAATTAATTAAATTAGAAATGTTTTTATTTATGCAAATAATATTTACAAGTTAGCTATATGTTAATAATAATACTAAAGCTTGCCAGTAGTTTCTAGAATACGAATTTTGTAAGATTCAGTGAATAAAAATTCCATTTTAAAAAATGCACTCATTTGCAAAAAAAATCGAAGCACCATGAAGGAAGTGGTTGTTTTTGTGAAAATTGAATATGTGTATATAGATCATACACAGATAATAAAATGATGAAAAAATCAAGGTCATAGTACCTGTTCATGGATCACAATCACCCGTTGAGTGATCAAATTAGTAGTTGATCGAACCGCCCCTGGCAGCAATGCATGCTTGAATTCGTCGAGGCAAGGACTGGTAGAGGTTCCTAATGTCATCATGCGACACATTCTGCCAGGCATTCATCAGTTGTCATTCCAGATCTGTGATATTTTGTGGTGCCTTAATTTGGCGGCCTACCGTATCCCAGACATGCTTGATTGGTGAAAGGTCTGGTGACTTTCTTGGCCATGGAAGAGTATCAACCACACGGAGACAGTCCAGAGATATGCAAGTGGTATGTGCCCAGAGATATGCAAGCATTATCTTGTTGGAAAATGGCCCCAGGATGACATGCCATGAAGGGTAATGCAACTGGCCGCAGAATGGTATCAACATATCGATATCATTGAGCTGTTAAAGATGTACGGAGGATGATTAAAGATGACCTGCTATCATAAGAAATAGCTCCTCACACCATCACACCAGGTGTTATGGCTGTATACCTTTGTAAAACAAAGGCTGATGGTGTTCGCAGGCCCTGTCCTTTCCAGACACAAACATGGTGATCATCTGCTTCAAGGGTGAAACGGGATTCATTGCTGAACACTGTATGATGCCAGTTTGATGGCATGTGGGGTAAAAGGCAAATGTCTTTAAAAGCCTCTGTGAGCATAGCACTGCCTCAGACAAGCGCTGCGAGATGGTGGATGGTACCGTGGCTGTAGTGTGTTGAATAGTTGACAATGATACCGTTAGGGGGATTCGAGCCTGGCGAACAATCATCCTATCTTGCCTCGCATTTGTGATCCTTGGGCCTTCCAGAGCCTTCATTTCATTGGCAATTTCCTTGTAGCAACTATTGCTGCCAACATCTTTGCACAGCAGTGTCTATTGCTCGGTATGACCACTCAGCTTCACGCAACCCTACAATGTGACCACATTCGAAGTCGTTTAGTTGTCTGTAAGGGGCTATGATATCATCATAATGGCATCTTTATTTGCTTCTTTACGGAATTACAATGGCAACAACAACAAAAAAAGATTTTTCGCCTCTGTTACTGGTTTTATACTTTGCTAATTGCGTACTAAAAATGAGCGCTATGATTGCAATTCCTGTTCATTTGCCTTGAAACTTTGATCATTTGCATGTTCGATCAAGATGTTTTCGGCATACCAAATTTCGTCACGATCGCAAAAGTCCTTGGTGCTTCAATTTTTTTGCAAAAGAGTATATAATGATCAATACTTTTCATGCAATATTAGTTTTCATGATAATCTGCATAGATGCACTCATCATTTAATCTGTTAGATCAAAAATGTTTTTCTAAATTGCTACTTCATTTCTAGTTGTGTATAAATGCAAACATTTCTCTCTTCATCTGTATACAGTCCCTGAATATGATCTTCAACCTTAAAATTAAATATCTTGGTCTTTTACTGTACAGGAGGTTTTTGTGCTTTATTTTTTAGAAAGAATGTAAGTGTTTACTAAATATAACTGTATGGATTATAAGGCATATAGAAGTTTAATTTCATAATTTTTATAAAATTGTATTTTTTGTTTTAAGAAATGCCAAATCATGACTGTTTCCCTTATTTAAAACATTATATACTTGAACGTATGTCTGTGATCAATGATTGCAAAAATAAAAGTTATGTAAAGACTATTTATTGCCGTGTATGGTTGAAAATATGAGATATGTGCTTGTTTCAGCTGATTTCATAAATGCCCATTCTTTCTAAAATATATGCATTTTATACACAGTTATATGACTTTAAATTGTAAAATTGTTTTTGTGCATAATGTATTTCATAGTTTTGCCGTTAGACATTTATGAGAATCATAAAATGCAGTTGTATTTTAAACTTTTAACTTCTGTAAATGAGCAAGCATTTTTTATATTTCATTGAGATTAAGAATGCTAAAATATGCTTTTCCTATTTTTTGTATGTGCTACTAATTTTCTGCTCTATTTTCTTCTTTGTGCATTGGTATTTAGCATTTTAATTTAAACATTGTTACCAAATTATAAAAGTGTCATGTGTAAAATACCTGCGATATTTCTTTAGTAGATATTAAACTTCAAATGAATTGGATGGTTTGAAAATTGTAAGTAATTTTCTTATGCCAAGTGTTTATGTTTTCCCACAGGACTTAGTGGGAGTTGAGCAAGTGAAGTTGTAGACACCCACTAGGGTGTTAAAAAAATGAGTATTAGAAAAAGTAAGTTGTCTGTTAATATGGCAACATTTGCTCAAAATATTTTAAGATAAATTAAAATTATTAAAGCACAAATTAAGGATAAAGCAACATAAATGCATCATGTCTACAAAAACTCTGCATGCAGCCTTAATTTTTTCAGCTGTTGGTTGTAGACATATACCTCCAGTTACAAAAAAGCTATTTATATTAAATCGTTTTGTAACTTAAAAAATCAGTTTTGTAAAAGTTACAAAATCTTACATTTTGTATGGTCTTCCATTCTATGTATGTAAAAAATGTTTATGCTTATTATCAAAGATAAATCACAAATGTTTGCCTCCCATGTGACAAAAATTGTCCGAGATATTTAAAGTTTCAGATCATGGATCATGCACAGATTTAAAAGTGAAATATTAAAATATGTAAGTAACTAAAAATGAAATATCAGTTTAGAAAAAAGTTTCTGATTAAATTATTTGTTAAGTTGGGCAAAAAAAAGCTGTCTGAAATTTTTAACAAATTGCATGATGTGTGGGATGAACATTACTTGCAAGCACATGTGTATGAATGGGTTTTTTATTTCAAAGATGATCAAGAATTTGTTGATATTCATGGCTCAACATTACCATTGAACCAGACTGTTTATACAGTCTTTGATCATGGAGTTTGGGTGTGTTTAAGTCGCCAAGTTGTGTGAGTAAGGCAAGAGATTGGATCATAAAACACAATAATGTACCAGTTTATTCATCACTTTTGGTAATTGAATACTTGGAAAACAAACTTCCCACACTTCTACAGCCATGTCATTGGTCTAGGCCAATGAGTTTGCCTGACTTCATCCCAATTTTGAAGGATAATCCATGGAGGGGGATCATCTGAGTCTCCTATCCTTCTTCCCATGCCACCAACCTTGCAAAAGGACTTTTGGCTGTAGAGTATTTTAAATGTCCTTTCATTGCAGGTACACTTACTTACAAATGGTGGTGTGCCTTTGCTAGCATTCAAATGCAACCAATGGTTAGGCCAGATTTCACATCATGTTACTCTTTTCTTTTCATAAAGTTTTAATTTTGCAATAAAAGAACATTGATTTAATTATCTTGAAGACATTTAAAGGGATATAATCACAGTTTTGAACTACAGTACAAAGTCCATAATCCGGATGTTCATTATCCGGAATGATCTATAACCCGGACCTCAAAGCCACAAACTTATCCATGCGTATTTGATGCGCGCGTCCGCTACACATGCACGTAAAGCCAGTAAAGCATTTACCCATGCATGCTTCCGATAGAGAAGAAGGTAACAGAGAACGTTATTGGAAAACAAAAAAATTTCGATTGACAAGTTAGTCAGTATTCTCGACACAACAATTACAGGACTTGAACAGTGGAACTTTGTAACTGAACAAGAAACTATATCTGTTTATAGAATTAAAGAGAAAGTATTAGCCCAAAAAACGAAGCAACTTAAACAACTTGTTTACTTTAGGAAACATTGATAACTTGTTTATTTACTAGTAAACATTATAGTAAACTAAAATAGTAAACATTGATAGAAATGTTTACTAAAGTAAACAAATAAATATTAAGGTTTTTTTTATAAATTGTGATACCCTTTAGATCATAATTGCTCTTTATTTCATAAATTATGGTTTCATGTTTTTAATTGTATAATTTCTGCATGCCATCTTACCAGATTTAAATTGATGATCTATAATCCGGAATTGCCGAAGTCCCATCGAGTCCGGATTACGAACTTTTTACTGTATTTAACTTTTGATGACTTTTGCATCTGTTTTATGCATTGAGATAAATTCTGTCGTAAAGGTAATGAATTGCAAAGATGCTTGTAAAAGAATGAAGGATTGATTTTCAGTTAGTTGCAAATAAGTTTGTTATGTGAGAAAATTCTGATTATTCAGTTACATTCATTATTACTTAATGTATTCTTGCTCTTCACATGTCTGTTTTTGCCTTGCCATCTCTATAGTATGCCTCATCTGAATTTGTGATGCTGTATACATATATATGTGTGTGTGTGTATACGTGAAAATATATTTATAATTACTGAAATGAAGGCTTGCATTTTGCATTTGTTTAGAGATATATGTATTAATTTTTATAATGATACATCTGAGATAAAGAAATTAATCAACTGAGTATGATTGCTTACTGGAAGAAGAGTCAGAATCATTTATGTCACCAACTAAAATATTCATTATATATATATTGTTAAATTATTAATATTTGGGATTCATGATATCTATACTTTCAAGTGAGCTATTATGTAAATCAGTATTGCATTTTGAATATTGCTTTGAAATTGAAAAGCAGTTTTAATCTAGTTTCCTGACCCCATCCCACATTGTTAAAGCTAAAGTACCAAAAATTTCTATTTAAATACATTGATTATCAATTTTAAGTATAATTAATCATTTAATGTGAAATCTCCTACAAGATGTGTTTTGTATTCCAGGGCCCAGGTGATATCTGTAAATACAAGTGAAGTTTTGCTACAGAAACAAGATGGAAGTTGGAATAGGATATGCATTAGTGATTTACAGTGTGGCAAATACCATATTCGTCATTCTATTGCATAAATAGTCTGTGATTAATTAAAATGATTTGGGGAAAATATCTGATTTTTATTCTTCTGTTTTGTTTATTGATTTTTTCAATACATTAAATAAATAGGAAATTTGTCAGAAACAACAATTTCAACATGAACTGTATAATAAAAGATGTAAAGCAGTTTAAATAAAAGGAATATAATAGTGAAATAAAATATAAATTTTTTAAAAAGTGGGGTAAAACAGTGCTTCAATGAAACATATTTATTCAAAGCAAAAATATATTTTTGCCATTTTAAATGGGAAAGGGACTAAGAAGTGCAAAATAAAGTGTCTTTTTTCTTGTTAGTAGTATGGAAATAATTTGTCTATAATCCTAATTGATGTATCATATAATGCAAGATTATTGTTTTCTTAATGACAGTTCTCAAAATGTTATTTTATTTATTTTTTATTTGTATATATGTACATTTTTATACTTGTATAGTATTCCTTTGAATTCTTACTCTATATTTTACTTGGGGGGCTGTTTTTTTTTTTATGTTATGGTGTGGAGTTTTTTCTCTAATATTGTACTCAAGTATACAGATTCATGTAAATGCTAGTCTGACATATATTTTTGTGATGTTACTCATAGAATATGAATACCTTCATTATTGTTTATGGTATTTAAAATTACATTCAAGTTCCTACTATTCATGGACTGTAATGATTTATCTCTTTCTTAAACCCGTTTTGTGGAATTAAAAGCATTTTGAAAACTTTTCTCAATATGCAAAAACATTTGACCTCACTATAAATCACAGTCTATCCTGTCAGTGTGGATTGTATTAAAAATTCATTACTGTAGTAAATTAATCATAAACATTAAGAAAATTGTTAGGAAAATAAAGTATATGCTTCTTTAAATTCATTTCAAAATTTAGTGAATGCTTATGTAATTCATTTAAAGGAAATAGAAAAAGTGCAAAATATGCATATTTTAGGAAATAAAAATCCATTTTCATTCAGTGTTATTAGTTATTATCTGTGACATAAACTATATGGAACTCAAAGTATAGTACGAAAATTATCTTGCTGAAAATTGCATAGAATATTCTATCATTGTTCATTCTTCCAAATAACAATCTGCAATATTTAATACTTAGTAATGAATACTACAGATTATAATTTTATATAATGTGAAATATTTAAAATAAAATTAACTGTTAATAAATTCAGTTCATGCTAAAATTTGAAAAAAAAAAAGGTGCACTACTGTGGGTAAAACTCATGTTTCTCTAATCATCCTGTTTTGTGAAAGCTCGAAGTCTTGCATTTCCCCCCTCTGTGTTTTTGTGATATAATTTTTTACTCACTTTTTATTTAAGCTTAGATGTGTTTGCATAATTGTTTTCTTCTTTTCACTGTTTTTTTTTGGGGGGGTCAGTAGTATCTCACTTTAATATTCAAGCATTATATGTATTTGAATCATAAATTGTGTGTTATTTATATATGGAACCAAAGGTGTATAATTTTTTAGAAATTTATTCTGAAATAAAATCAAGGAAAATGAAATAGATTTCAGTTTTATCAGAATATAATTAATTTTAAGAGAAATAGGTACTTAGTCTCTTTTCTTAAAGAAACAGTAATATTTTGCTCCTTGAAAAAAAAAGGGAAGGGGAAATTATATTCCTTTTTCTCTTAAAAGCAGTAATCTTTATTTCCCCCCTTTTTTTTTACCAAAATCCATTTAAAGTTAATTTTTGCTTTTTTGCTTAGTTTGATATTAGTGTGTTCCTCTCTTATTTATTTTGAAGTACTGCATCATATTTTAATAACATTACATCTCTCAAAATCAATAGTTTTATCAAGATCCATCTGAGGTTGACTTTTGCCTAATTTAATGCTGATGTGATATCATGCTAACTGTATTGAAGTACTGGATCACATTTTAATGTTGTACTTAGTTAACAATAGATCCCAATTCAGTTTTTTTAATCTCAGAATAATGCTGAAAGTATTGGGTCATCTGAAAAGTTTTGCAGGTTTTTATGCTAAATACTAATGAAGTAGTGCAATACATAAGAAAATTTCATTGAATCCTATAAGCACAATTTTTGCCATCTCTCCTATAATAACAAAAATATCTTTTTTAAAAAAGTTGTTAGATTATTCATAAAGATGTTACTGAGCTGCTGTTTGACAGTCTCCAAATAAGTGAACTCCAGAGAATTCTGAAGTGACCTGTAGGGATGAAAATCTGAGGAGGTAAGGCCAGGTGAATGCAGGGGGAGTTGATACAAAACATCTCATCCATTCTCAGTATGTGTTTGATAGTCATCGAAATCTGGAGGCGAACATTGTTCTAATGGAAAACAGTACCTTGACGATTGATTTAAAGTAACGATTATTGGAGGAGTTAAAGTGACAAGTATCAGCATAGTATTAATAAATTTGCGGTAACCTTAATGACTGGTCAGTTCTGGGTACTTTGTTTCGATTTTGGGTCTTAAAATGCCATTTTGGGAATTTTTCCAAATTTATTGTCTGATTTAATGGCTACAATTCATTTGTAGTCTCAGCATAAGCAAAATGTTGCTTGTTTGGAATGCAGCTTCCTTCTCGATGTTACTTAAAGGTGGTATATTTGGCTTACCCCCATGATTTTTTTTCTTGTAATATTATTGTATAATATCCAATTCACATCTCCAGTAATCAGCCTCCCCAAGTCCTGCTATGCTGCCTCAACGTGGTGGGGGGTGTCAGGAACATAGCTCCTGGTAGGGTCACCCTAGGAATGAAGGCCGTTAGTAGGTATAATATGGGGGTTCTGTACCACAGGGCGCTGGGGTGCTCGGAGAGGGGGATCTGGCGAGGGTTGCTGCGTCACCAAACTACGGACGCGTTGCATCCTGTTCATGACATCATCACACATTGTAACCATCTTGCTATTGCTATGTTAGCCACATGTTTCATCCTGTTTGTGTTGTAATCCGGTTTCATGTCCGCGCTTATCGATTGACGTAGAACTCCCCGCTGCTCTGATGTCATACTAAATCCGAAACCTGATTGCAGCATGATAGAAGTTTCTAGTGCATTCTTTTTAGTTCAGCAATGGCCGCTAGAGGGCAGTCTTACCCATAGTGCATTCTGGTTGGTACTTGTGGATCCTGACAAAGTTATTAACCATAATTTTTAATTGATTATACTATTTAAAAATTAATATATTTAATGAAGGAAGTTCATGTATTTACATGTAAATTTCATGTATTTGGCCATCTATAGCATGGGAAACGTGGGCGATAACACAAAGGGCCGTGCTTTTTTGAATCCTATTATTTGATTATTATTTGATCGTATCTATCCTCTTTGTTCATCTTTGTGCAGTGGAAACCAGCATGAGGCTGATGGATTCCCCATAGACAATTCTATTCCAACTTGCTCAGACCTTTGTACATCCTCGATAATGAATGAATTCAGGACTTTAAATTATTTTGTTCATTAGATTAAGATATTTAAATTTCTCATCTTGCAAACATTTACGAAATTCTTGTCGGCGTAAATTAAAGTCTAATTTTCCCACCATATTTTCTATATACAAACATAAGATTTTTTTTTTTCCACATTTAAAGTTTTACATTCTTTTCCCTACGCTTAACTTGCAAAAGATTTTATAAAAGTAATACGTTTTCAAATTTTATTTATTTATTTTTTTTTTCCTCTTTTTATTTTACAAAAGGTTTTTTGCCTTCAGTTTAATCTTTCCTTCCGTGTTTTACATTTAACTTTATTTGTTTTACAAAAGCTGACTTAGTTTACGACGATTTTTTCTTTCTTTTTACAAACTCGTCTTTTTCCTGTATTTTACTTCAAGAAGTAATTTTTCTTACATAAAAGTATTTTTTAATTCTTGAAGAATTTTCTTCTCTCATTTTTTTCTTTCTTTTATTTTCCTCTTAAGGTTTTCTTAATGTTTTAATACTTGATGTTACACCTCCATTTCTCGAAGCGTAAAGTTACATATATATTTCTCTGTCTATGAAATTTAAGCTGGAACTTACACGCATATAATTTCCCTCTAGAGGCTTTCATTGATAATATTTTCTGCAATTAGTACCTGCTTTTGGGAAAGCCGACTGTGGGACTTCAGATTGCGTATAGGTCCGGCTAGCCCTGGCCTAGGAATCTGCGTCCCCTTGTTGGGCTCCATGGTGGGTGGGGCGGTCGGACCCGAATCTTTCTCCATTTAAATATGAATACTCTGATACCTTCCTGCTCCAACAATGTACCCGATACTCCGACTGTGACTAAAAGACTAAAAAGCGACATAGAAAGCACTGCATCAGATGTACTTTGTCCACGTTTCTTAATTATAAGCAGCTCTGAAGAATTGAAAAAAAAAATGTCACTCTTTCTAATTAACAATCATCTTTTGTCTTCTGTAGGGGAATTGAAAAATATTAAGAGACTTCGATCTGGAGACCTTTTGATAGAAACTGTGTCTAAAAAGCAGTCTAATAGTCTTTTGAAACTAACTAAATTAGGACAAGCAAACATTGTAGTTAAGCCACATAACATTCTAAATTTGTCCAGAGGAGTAATCTCTGAAATAGACGCTGTCAGTAACTGAGTTGGGAGATCAAAACGTGTGTGGTGCTCGTAGGATAAAAATACGAAAAGAAGGTAAACTCATTCCCACTAAGCATATCATACTTGCTTTCAAGTCTCCTAACCTGCCTAAAAACATCAAAGCTGGATAGCTAAAGTGTTCAGTCAGGCCATATATACCGAATCCAATGCGTTGTTTCAATGTCAGCGCTTTGGACATGGAAAGACCTCTTGTCGCGGTAGCCTCTCTCGATGTCCATCGTAGGCCACGCTAGTGAAGGCTGCTCTGCTACCCTTGTGTATAACCTGTAAAGGCGAGCATCCAGCTTTTTCGAGATCATGCTCGAAATGGCAGACAGAAAAACAAATTCAAAGCATTAAAGTTACACAAAAGATATCATTTGCAGAAGCCAAAAGACTTGTTCTCTGTAATCAGCCAAGATCTAATAAATCTTATGCATCCGCAACAAAA